TGAATGTACAAAATTGAAAATGAAAATGAATAAAACATTTAAACCACCAAAAAATCCATTAACATTAAATCCTCAGATCCTATTCTAGCTAAACTTCCATAATTTTTAATACCAAAATTTTCTAATCCTCCTTTCCAAATCCCTGTTTACCATTTACATCCAATTCCCTCATATTGTACTCATAGCATGTATATAATTTATTATCATTATCCTTTCTTTATTTGACTATATCCTATATCATAACATTTCCCCCTAATAATTAAAACTTGGCTGTGCCTAATTTTGTTCTTTTTATTGTTATTGTTATTAATAACCTTTATATATAGTCCAAAAGTATTTCTAACCTTTCCTTCATGGGTAACATTCAATATTCATATCCAACATTTTTAAGGGCCTAAAATTAATCTGAAATATCAAACTAGAAGCATAAGCAGAATCTCATGAGGTTACAAAGATTAACATTAATTCCATGAAGGTCTTCATTCATCCAAAGTGCATAAGAATAGGCTGACACTTTACAAGCTCTCATATAAATACGATTTTATATTCACAAGCAATATAAAATGGGACCTTTTCAGAAGGAACCTTCATTATTTTATGTCCTATGCATAGTGTGTTTTAATTGTGCAGAGAGAGAGAGTTTTTGGAACTAGGTCTTCCTGTGAACTTACGGCCTCTTCAGCTTGTCTCTTGTATGCTTTCACTTTAAGCTGTAGTTTATCGACCAGATCCTGGAGCCTCAGAACATTTTTCCGGTCTTCTTCAGACTATATATATTTAAAGGATATAAAGAATGGAGAGAGTAAGTATGCAAATTATTTAAACCTTTATTTGTTTTTCCTAAGAGGTTTTTTTTTGAAAAGTTTTTTTTAAATTTTTATTTTCATACAAGTAACCACAAGTAGACCATTACATCTTAACCAGCACTATTTTGTGTTATCCAATATTATATCAGTTCCTTTTACCATCAACCCACAGAACTATCATTTGCTCTTCTGCTTTCCATACACCATATTATACCCGATCCACTGCCATCCTGCTTTCTCTCCCTTTCTCCTCCTCCCAACTCCTTTCTTCCTTCTACCATCCCGCTCTTCTCTACTTCCCCTTCCTCTCTCCTCTTCCTCTCTCCTCTTTCCACTCCTTCTCTCTCGCCTACTCTTTTCCTCCCTTCTGCTCCCTCTCTCCTAACCCCTCTCTTCCTCCTCTCATCTTCCTTTCTCTCTCTTCCACTCTCTCCACTTAGCTTACATGGTGTATTTCATTGTGTAAGCAAGCTCCATTTAATATTGATGGTATTAATGATTACATTTCAATAAACATTTTTATATTAATAATTTTAATATACATCCTATTTTAAAGGTATGCATATATAGCAATTCCATTGTTATCCTCCCCCGCTCCAAGGCATATTTTTTGGGCAAGGTGCGGTTCAGGTTTCCAGCTATCCTCATAATAATATTACATAGTTATACAGTTTATTAGACTTGTATGTTCAGTTTATTAGACTTGTATGCTGCCCTATTCCCAAGGGGATCAGGGCCGCTAACAAACCAAGGGGGAATGGGGACAATACAAGCAAAACAAACAAAATGAAAAAACAATACAGAAAACAGATTTTAAAAACTCCTCAACAGTCACAACAAATTCGAGTGGGGCTGGAAACTCATCAGCCCCAGGCCTGCCGGAACAACCAGGTCTTAACAGCTTTGCGAAAAGCCTGAAGGATGGTGAGGGTCCGAATCTCCACAGGGAGATCGTTCCAGAGGGCCGGAGCAGCCACCGAGAAGGCTCTCCCCCGGGTGGTTGATAGNATCAACGCGACCAAAGCGGTTTCTGTGCTGTAGCCAGGTCTGAAGCCGGACTGGATTGCAACACAGCACAGCAGAAGCCATGAGGTGACCACGCTCTCGCCGCCTCCAGCACCTCAAAAATAATAAGACCTTCCTGAAAATAAGGCCAAGCGCCTTATTTCAGGGAAACATGGTATATCAGCTTATAAGAAGTGCAGAGACCACGCACAGAGGCCTCCCATATTATTTATGTGCATAATATAGTCCACCTTTTGTCTATATGAATGCAGAAATATGTGATTACCAAACTGACTAATAGATTATTCTGACAATGCAAATTTATAGCCTGAGTCAGGGGTGGGTTCCGGCTTCTTCTACTGCCAGTTTGCTCAGCGATGTGCTTTGGGCACATGCGTACTTGATGCGTGCATGTGCAGTTGGTAAAAAATGCTTCTGTGCAAGCGCAGAAGCAAAAAACAAGATGGCAGCACAATAGAACCGGTTTGGCGGCATGGCCAGCCAAATTACTACCTACTCAACCAAATCGGGCCAAACAGGTAGGAACCCACCTCTGGTCTGAGGGGTATTTCACCAGGCTTTTTGTTGACTGATGCAATCAAAATTGGACACTATTTTTTATGAATTTTGTTTGGATCAGTTTATCTTACTATATGATAGTTATTCTAAACATGTTCATTTCTAGACCCCATGTGAAAACATGAAGTAATCAGTTGACTCTATTATCATTAAAATCTCTATTGGGTATTTGTTCAGATTTTTCATGAGCCTTACTGGTTTTAAGAGATTATACATGCATTATTTGAGTCCGCAGTATTGCACTAGCAGAAAGCAGCAAACAGAAACAATGGCTGCACTCACGTAGATCATCCAGGCTGCATAACGCTCTTTGAGGTTATATAGGACAGCAGGTTCATTGAGGTGGGTCATCATGGCCATGTCCTCAATTTTGTCAAATTTGGGAGGGTTCATAGGAAAGATTTGGTCATCCTTTACAGTTACATTCTAGGAAAGAAAAGATATTGATAAGTAGACCTGGTCTAATAAAGGCTAACTTTTGACAATATGTTTCTTGTTCTTTACTCACTTCTCCTTTTTCAGTCTTGACTACGACTTTCCCTGCATCTTTACTTTGTACAACGCCTTTCACATAGGCTTCCTTAGCATTCACCACATAAACCGAGGTCTTGGCATCAAAGGGCTTGTTCTGGGATTCAATTCTCTCCTTTTCTGACTTCCGGAGAAAAGCGGCAGCTTCCCCGAAAATTGCCATTTCAGCGTCTGACGACATGGCTGCAGTTTACAGGGCACACCGCAGCAGAGAAAACTACATGGAGGAAAGATGGTCTATCAGCTTATAGGTACAGTGCAAACTTTTCTAAAAGGCTAAATCATTAGTTTTTGTCTCTTTTGCAACTTTCCGCCTGGTGGACTTAGCAACTGTTTATGATTACAAGACCCTTCTAGATTGTCTTCCTTTGATGAAAACAACATTCCCCACTAGAAGGAACCTGTGTTTTCTTTTCTGGAAGAAGAGAAATTGACCAAGTATAAGATGGGTCATTTCAGTTCCATTAGAAACTTGTGGATATTAATAAATCAGCATATGGTATGAGTCCCTCTACTGTCGTCATTATTATCTTCAACTTTTTATTCAAGAAAAAGTTTTACTCTTTGTCCAAAAGAAAAAAAAATATAAACTATGGATGAATAAACAAAAGCAGAAGTGTAAGAGCTCAGACTAGATATATATAGAGGGGCGGGCAGAGGGGGGGGCAGAGGAGGAAAAGAGGGTGAGGAGGGAGATCTATCTATCATCTGAAAGAAAAAATAACTCAGCATACAGCAGAACAGCATCCCATTTCCCTATTTGTAATCTGTAATCAATTACTTTGGTTAAGTGTAGGTAACAAAGCAGGACTCTGCTGAGAACTCAGCACATGTTTTATAAATAAAAAGAAAAGAGTGAAGTGGAAAAGGAAGTGGTATATATATGTGGGTGAAAAAATGTGATTTATGTACTCAGAACAACTATAAAATATTATCATACCATATAAAATATTTAATTCCTTTTTTAATAATGTATATTGTAATTATTATGTATTCCAACAGGTGATGAGTATTCTAACGAAGGAACTCTGAATTTAATCAGCAACAGAAACTACTCCTATCTCCTGCCTCCAGGCTGTTTTTCTTTTGAACTGGGCATATGCCATTATATTTTTACCCTACTGTTTTGAAAAAGAGACGTTCGTGAGCGTTTTGCGTCTATGAAATTAAATATTGCTTGCTTTATCCTTGGCATTAGAAATATTCCAGTGTCTTATCAAAAATTTGAAAGTGACAGTACAGAAGCCTGCTTTGTGATCCTGCCGTGTTTGAAAGTAAAGCATCTTCCAAAAAATTGTAACTAGGAAACCATAATCTTCATGGCCAGCAAAATGAAACATCTTCATTAGGGGGTCACAGAGATCCAGCCCAAGATTTGTGCCTTGCTGACTTGAGTTCTGAAATAAAATCCAGTGTTCCATTACTTTTTAAGTATCATAGTTTTATATTTTAATTTTTTTAAAAAAATCATTTTGGGGGGATCAATTTATATTTAATGCTTACATTTAAAAAATAAATAAATATTTTGCTTATATTCTTTTTATTCTTCCTAGCTGCTTGTAGAGAGATGGGCAGAAAACAATTTTAATAAATGAAAATGAAAATAAATAAATAAATAAAATCTCAATTTAAAAAAATATTTGTTTATCTTTACTACGTGTTAGATGTTACACGTTGATCACATTTTCAAATGCAGTTTTATCTATATTATGGGGATCATAATATTATCTACATCTACATTGGGAGCATTGTAATGTTATCTATCTATCTATTATGGGCACTAGCACTGTTATGCCTTACCTCACCTTCTGCAAAGAAGTTACAGGCAGCCTTGAGGCTGGCCAGAACTACCCGAACAATTTAGAAAAAACAAAAATGATGATGATGATTCTCTTTGTAATCCAAGATTTCCAAAGTTCCAAGAATATGTTGATATAAAGAATGGAAATGTACAGACATATTCAAGAACAGGTGTAATGTCCCCAGAGAAGTTAGTTCCAGAGGTGGCAAGATGGCCCTGGGATGTGTAAGATCCCAGGCCTACCCATGATCCTGCCCTCCAATTCCAAGTTCATTCTTCACATGACTTACCTTGAAGCTCTAGGCAAAGCTCAGGCAGATCAAAGATAAAGCAGGTCCCAGAAACTCTTTTATAATATCCGCTCGGCCCTAGCACCTCCTCTGCCACAGGTCAAATATTTCTGGCCAAGTATTGTTTTGGCAAAGTTGACTGCAAACATAATTCTTACTCATATTATCCCTGGATATATTTAGAGTTGAGCCACTGCATTCCTAAAAGTGCCTGTATCATTTCTAAATATATTTGATGGAAGTCATTAACTTACATTTTCAATAAAAGCATCTTAACCGAAAAGGGCTACTGACCACCCCCGCCCCCACTGAAAAATCAGTTTTTAAAAAGTGATTTCAATGACTTTTGATCACATTTAAATAGCTTGAATAACATTTAAGTGACTCCCCCCGCCCCCCCAAGCCATTTTCATTGATACTTTGCAGAAGGGAAAGGATAACTGGCTACTATGCTACTGACAGAAAGTCACAGCTACTATAATTGTCAAATATTTTATTCCAATCGGATTGTGATATGTCCAAAAACCTACTGTGCAATAAATCATTTTTGCTGGAATGGGAAAACCTGTCTACTATTTTCAGACAACGTCTGATAAATAGTCATGATGACGAGGAAGGAATAGGAGACTTGGGGCTCTTGGCATGCCTTCTATGATTACCAAGACAGTATTCGCACACCCTTTGGACCATGCTTAGAATTTGAGTTATAAAGAGCATGTGTTCTGTAAGAGCGTGCAAGAGAAGAGGCTGGGAAG